CATTTTATTTTCGCAAATAACTATTTAGTTTCGGAAAAATCTGTAAAATATCAAAATGTTTTGTATGTAAATCTCGACTATACCGTTATAATAATTTCGCGAATATCTACAAAAATAAACAGAGATTTACAAAAACATATGCAAAAATTTTCGAAAATAAATGAAACAAAAAATTCTGGAGATTTACGGTTTGAAAATTTTCGAAAATTTTTTTGAAAATTTACGAAGGTGTCATATAACTCCGAAAATTTAACGAGGCAAAAATTTTCGAAATATTTTGCCTTTAAAAATTTCCTGATGTATCATTTAAATTAATAAATTAAATAATATTTAAAAATTAAATAAAATTAAATTAAATTTTATTATTTGTAATCTCAAGAATTATATTATTTAATTAATAAATTAAATTTAAAAATTTAATATTAAAAAATATACTTATATGATATCGAAAGTTTAAAGACATTAAATATTAAGTTACTGCTGAAATTTAATGATTAATAGGTTATATGATTTTCATATGAGTAGCTTGCTGAAGGTACAAAAAAATTTTATATAAAATTCAATAAAAAAAAAAAAGAGAATTATAAAAATTTTATTTTTTTTTTGATATTTGAGTTTGTCTTAATTTTGTCATTAAAGATATTTTTTATTATTTATTTATTTAAAATATTTTTATATTATTTATTTAAGTTATTTTTATTATTATTTATTTAAGGAATTTAAGGGATTATTTATTTAAAGAATAATTTATCTTAATTTATTATGCAAATTAATTATCTTTTTTTTTAAACATGCCAAGATATAACAAATGTTTTAAATACTGTTTAGCAACTATAAAAAAGTAGTGGAATTAATTTGACACAGAAGTTTCAAATATTGAGTATAACAAATTTAATTTTAAAACTACTTAACAAGGAAACAGAAATGAATATAAACTTGTGGATAATAATTAATTTGTAAAAGAATTAAGCAGAGTAGAACTGAACATATTTGATAAACTTATTAATAATGCACAACAACTAGACACATGAAAAATAAAAAGACAAAAACAATTTTATACTGATTATGTTAAATTAACATTATATAATAAAAGAGTAATCTGGAAAAAGGCAACCCCGGGTTTAAACAAGATTATTACTTGGTTTTCTAGTGAAATCTCCATTAATGATATAACTAAATCAAGTTATAATAATTGTGAGCTTCTATTTGATAAAGTAATAAATTCTAGTGATAATGATGATAAATTTACTTTGATATCTCTTAATATCTTGTTAAAAAAAAATTCTAATATGTAACTTCACATAGTGAATTAATTTCTTTATCTTATTCAAGACAAAAAATTTTCTAAACTTTTAACTAGCAAGTTTTTGACTTGTAATGTAAATAGAAGTTCATGGCATGCACAGGTTATTTATTTGTAAGTCAATCAATAGCTCAGTAATAATGAAATTTATATATTACATTATGAATATCATACAAATCAAGTTATTTCTATATCATAAAGATTTCAAATTATGCATTCTCAAATATTTGCATACAAATAAATTTACTTTGACCATTTACCAATTTATAAAGTTCATTGAGAAGGAGATTATACTTACTTTAGGAATTGAGACAAAAGAAAATCTCTGAGGTAACTACAAGAACTTGATTATATAATTTTGAATGGGATTATAAAAATTATTCAAAAATATTTATTTCAATGGTCATGAACGTAATGATGTAATGACTTATCAAAATAAATTTTTTGAACAAATGGTTAATTTGCAATTCTGATTTGTAACGTACAAAGAAGAAAATATGAAAAAATTATTTTGCCAATACTTCTACCTAATATTCATGAATTTGTTCTGATTATCCATGATGAATCAATTTTTTATACCAATGATAGTATTGTTAAAATATGAGGTCCAACAGAAGAAAATTAATTTTGGCATAAGTCACAAGAATTTAGTATCCATGTTAGTAACTTTATTTGTAAATCAATTGGACATCTTCATCTTTTAGAAGAGGATTAAGTTACAAATGATTTGTTTCCTGATGATTATTAACTTAAATATTCTGAAGCTTGTATAATCATATATTTAAATTTTAATTGAAATGACTAGTGAACAAATCGAGATCTAATAAAACAAGTAGTTGAATGAGACATTTTGATTTTTAAAAAAACACATCTTAGAAAAGTCACACTTTTTATGTTTAACAATAGTAGTAATTATAATTCATATGTCAATGATACCTTAATAATTTCAAGGATGAATTTAAAAGATGAAAACAAACAATTACTTCTTCGTGATGGTAGAATGCCTAATGGATCTTCTCATATTATGACATTTGTAAATGTGGATGGAATAATAAAATCAAAAAGAATTTGACAAATTCTTGAAGAGTATAACTTATAGATACTGGAGTTAAAAAAAAATATAATTTATGTAAGTTACATGAAACTGATCTAACGAATTTACAATATTGTGCAATCTGTATTTTTAGTTAATAATTCAATTTTGTATAGCAAAAAAATCATTTGCAAGAAATTATTGAAGCAGCTGGGCATATGTATATTTTTTATTTCAAATTTCATTATAAACTCAATTTTACAGAGTCATTTTGGGGGGATACAAAGTGGTATACATATTCATGTTGTGATTATACTTTTAGGAATCTTAAAAAAATTATTTCACAAGTATTAGATTCTGTTTTCTTAATAAAAATTTACCAATTTGCATATTAATTTAACTGATATATGAGTGTATATGAACAAGGTCTTTTGAAAAAAGCTGCTGTCTTTGTAGTGAAAAAATACAAGTCATACTATTATGTTCCTGAGAGTATTTTGGAAGAGCTTGGTCATATAAAATAATAAAAAAAAATAAAAATTTATCTAAAAATAGGATTATTTTTTGAATTTTTTTTTTATTAAATAAAAAATAATGTTTTCTCTTTTTGTCATTCTTTAAATAAAAAAAAATTTCATCAATTTAACTTTTTTGTTTCATACAAATGTTTACACAATAACAATAGTGAAAACTCATAATTTCATTTGAAATATAACCAATCATCACACTCTAAATTCAGATCACTGAAAATTTCACCATTATTATTACAATTGTCATACTTTACAGATTAACTACTTAATAAATTTTTATTAATCATAGTAAAAAAAATACATTAAATTGAAGAGCTAATCTAGAGCTATCAAATAATGTATTTTTTTTTTTTTTGATTTCATATTTGAATACAAAGTTTTAGTAGTTTAAAAAATTGGATGCTTTTAGACTTTCACACCATACTAGATATAAATATTAGTTGAAATGTTATTAAAATATCATCATTCATTAAATAAATTAACATTTACTAATTGAATTTTAAATATTACTATTATCTAATATTATTGCAGGTGTTTTTAGTATTATATACTATATACGATTTCATTCTGTAACACTGCTAACCTGATATATAACAGTTTGAGTGTATTATAAAAAATAAATCATGACACCTTTGAGTGTGTCCTAAAAAATGAATCACAACACCTTCGAGTATGTCCTAAAAAATGAATCATGACACATATCTGATCAGGTATAACTTAGAATAACCAGAAATAATATAATTATATTATTTCTGGTAGTGAAAATAAAAGAAAAAGAGAGTGGTGACAAATAAAAGTAGAAAATATATAGACAAGAAGAAAACAAATTGATAATACTGTCCTATTTTAGCTTATATTATAAATCAGCTAAAATTGAAATTCCTATTTGCACCATCTTTTATGTTTGACCTGTGTTTCTCAATGTCTTCAACAGTTGAATTAGGTGTAATATTCATATCAAATAGTGCCCAAGTTTAGAGTGAGTAGATATGGATTTTAAAGAACAAAAAATTCATCTAAAAAAAAAAAATCAAGAGTAATGTTATCAGTTATTTGATCAATCCATTGATTCTTTGAATGTTTTGCACGGAAAAATATCCGGATAATCCGTTAATCCGGATTGCAAACACCACATGGTTAAATTTTTATAATTTTTTATGCCCCAAGATTTAACTTAATCTCGCATATGTCAATATATTTGTCCTACCATTAATATTTGTGAGCATTTATTTAATTTATTTTTAGATTGTAAAAGATCACAGAAGTTGGGGTTCGTGTAATGCTCGTGTACGTATAAAAATAAAAAAAAAAGGATTTTGTAGATGAACAGCGCACCGACCAAGAATTAAATTCTTTGATATATTTTCTTTGTATGACAAATCTCAAGGTGATCAAATTAGGTTGCCACGTATCAAGTTTTCTAAACCTGTTTCTTTAAATATATTTGATTTATATTATCAAAAAACCAATGTCGCCCGTACAAAACATTAATGATAATTCTCCTATCCCTCAATCAGCTAATCCCATTATGAATTCTTATATTGTGCACGTTGGCGAACAAACGTTTCGTTTATATCGCTCATCGGTAACCTTTGACTCTCCAAACTTTTTTACTCAAACTTTTCTTAGTGAAGAAGAAACTTCAGGTGAAACTGAAATAAGCAACTCTCCGGAAGATAACGTAACCTCATTGTCAGTTTCTTCGACTGATATAAAGAGTACTGTTTTGGATAATAAAGGAAAAGAGAATGATTCTAACACTGAGTCTAATATCAACAATGATTATAAAACTCTTGATAAAATTAATAAGGCAAGAATGAGTACTAGTACACAAACTTATTTTTCTTCGAATTCTACTGTTAAAGAAATAACTATTGATAGAGATCCTAGACTTTTTGAGGTTATTTTGAGATATCTTCGAGGTTATACCATATTTCCATTATCTTCAGTAAACTTACCACAAGGAATGTCTCTTGACTTATTTCGAGAAAGTTTATTAGAGGATGCCCGATTTTATGGATTAGACCGATTAGAACAACTTCTTCAAGCCGAAACACCCTCACCGTTAAGTTACAAAGATCCATTCACATCAGCAGATAAGATCCTTTTGTCACTGCGTGATGTACTTATTCATAAAGATTTTATCAAATCTAAACTCGATGGATCTTCAACCATAGAATTCTTTACAGGAGCAGTTCTTACTATTGAAATTTCGGATGGTTCCATAATTTTTCAAACAAAATTTCTTAATGCACAAGATCAAAAAGCAATGGAAGTTTTGGACGACATTTGTGGCGAAAATTCTCATATTCAACTTTCGAGAAAACTTAATTCAAATATGCATGACACATTGAATGGGATACGTTTAGAAATTGATGGAGTTCAAATTACTGGTATGGACATTGCTTCTCTTGTAGAACCTTATAATCAGAGAGTGAAGACTTTAGATGATATGTTTCGATTATCCGGAGGCAAAGGTTTAGTTGTATATGCTCAAGAATTTGTTTTTAGATTGGATAAATCTTCCGATGATATTAACAATGAAAATAGTGTCAATGGAGTAAATGGAGAATTAAATCAAGATCATGATAATAAGGAAGAGATTAAGGAAAATAACGGTGTAATTAATGTAAAGAATAATGTAAGTAACGAAGGAAATCCAGTTTACCTTGGAGTTGTTTGGGCTAAAGGGTGGACACAAGAATGGTGGGCATGGAATGAATATAGAATGAAATTGGATGCTCTCCAGTAATGAACAGTAATCGAAAGAAATTATATAAAAAAAAAAAAAATTCACTCACATATTTATATTTAACCAATTCTATAATTACTATAATTTCTATAATTTCTATAATTTCTATAATTTCTACATTTATATAATATATATACATCGTTTTTTTTTTGATATTTATGATTTAAATTATCGATGTTTATTATTCATTTTCATTTACAATTTTCAAATTTCAAAGAAAAAAAAATTTTTTATTTGTTCGCGTTTTTTTTACCGTTAAGAATGTCATCAGTTTCTTTTATTCTTACAATACTTTCAAATAATTCATCATTATCAAATCTGCAAACATAATATATAAAAGTATACATTATCCAATAAAAATGCATTGTTTTCGTGATTGTAATCATGAATTCGTAAAATAATATTTTCTCTCTCTGGAAAAATAAATAACTGATAGTTTAAAGATGATTATTTAAAGAAATTAAAGTATTAAAAAAAAAAGAAATATGATAGTGATTTACTGTTTTGGTCTAATAAATGAAGTTATTCAGTGTATTTTTTTTCTTTCTTTCTTGGGAATCCATAAAAACCAAAAATGCCCAATTGCTAAAGTACTTGTTATCCATAATAACCATGTTAGTATGTCCTTCTCTCCTCTCAATGTTAATACAATCACTACTATTGTAGTTTCAAATAAATGAATAACGAGAATAACATAGAGAATATACACGAAAAACTGGGGATCAATTGTTGACTTAACATATTCAACAAATTCAGGAGGAGAAGGATGAAAAATCACAAGATAATGAAAATAAAGAAATCCCAAAAGTCCAATATATATTGCTATATGCGGATGATTGAATGGAGTATGTGTAGATGAACTTCGTGTAGTTGTATTATTATTTGGTGGTAATGTACTAGGCTGATATTATAATTTGAAAATTATATTTTAAAAAAAAAAATTTCTCGAAAATAAAGTTACATTCATATTGATATTTGAAAAATGCGTGTACCAAATTCAATGCTTCCTCTGCTTCTCGAGCCATTTCAGTAAGTACTGGCCTGACTTCTTCACTCGACTTTAACCGATTTTTGAAACGAATATGAACTTCCGCTTCTTTTCCGTTAGCATCCTTAGCCATCACGATAAATCCATTAGAATCAATATCTGTCATTCGTGCACTTTGGGTATCTTTCGAATCCCCATAATACTTTGCATAACCTAAAATAGTATCAGGGTGAGTGTTCATATAATTAATTAAACGTTCTGCATGTGGAGCAATAGGATCTGTGGAATTTCTGAATTTTGCCGAATTCATTTTTTTTTAACCTAAAATTTAAAGAATGCCAAATAAAATTGTTTTTTATTGATTTATTGATAATATTGATAAGATTAATACGATAAGATAAGAATAGCGTGATTTTATAATTTTTTTAAGGGCAAAATTAACGAGATTTTTTTTTTCCTTCCAACTTTGCGTTAAACATAATGTCCAGTCAAATCTCGAAAAAAAGAAAAGTAAAGTATTCAATAATTTTGGACTTCACATAATGAATGGTTAGAAATGGTTGGATTGGGAAAAATCGTTAATAAAGTTTGAAATACAATTAATATCTTTAATTTTATAACGATACTTTTTAAGATATTTTACCCGAGGGATTATAAAAATATAATAATATAAATCAAAGGTCGAAATATCATAATTATTAACAATTCTCGATCTATCACAAATTTAAAATCAAACTACATTATAGTTTGTTGCTGACGGTGTATTCTTTGCCGAACTCAATGAATTCTTCACTCGTGAGCTGGCCGAAGAAGGTTACTCTGGAGTAGAAGTCCGCGTGACGCCGGCACGTACAGAAATCATTATTCGTGCTACTCATACTCAAGATGTTCTTGGTGAGAAGGGACGTAGAATTCGTGAGCTTACTGCTCTTATTCAAAAAAGATTCAAATTTCCCGAGAATACTGTTGAATTGTATGCCGAAAAAGTACAAAATCGTGGACTTTGTGCAATTGCCCAATGTGAATCACTTCGTTATAAATTATTAGCAGGTCTTGCTGTTAGAAGGTAAATTTAATATCTCATAAAACAATTTTTAGAAAAAATTTATTTTTATTAATCAACATCATTTCGATCCCATTTTTCGTGGAATTTATAAATTCAGGATCTTAATTATTATTTTTTTATTCTTTGACATGTTATATATAAAAAATATATATAAATATATTCAGGGCATGCTATGGTGTTTTACGTTTCATTATGGAATCAGGCGCTAAAGGTTGTGAGGTTGTCGTATCAGGAAAACTTCGAGCTGCACGTGCTAAATCCATGAAGTTTGTCGATGGATTCATGATTCATTCCGGTCAACCAATTCGAGATTATGTTGACACCGCTGTTCGACACGTAATGTTGAGACAAGGAGTGCTGGGTATTAAAGTAAAGATTATGCTTGTAAGGATAATTACACATTATACGTCAATCAATATATATCATTTTTTTTATATACTTATATACTTCTATAATAAATTTATGGACTCGATTCTCGATTTAGGAATGGGATCCATCTGGTAAAGTTGGACCAAAGAATCCATTACCAGATTTAGTCACCATCATGGTATGTTAACAATTTTAATTATTCAAAAAGAATATTTTTACAAATTTCAATTATTTATTTTTTTCTTTCTCATTTAATAGGAACCCAAAGAGGAAACTACGATCACACATCCTACATCCGAGGACTTCCAACGACCACCTGTTGATATTCCTACATCACCAGTTCAAGATTTCAACGCTCCTCCTCCTTCTTCTGGTCCTCCTGAAGAATATGAAAGTTAATAATTGACAAATGAATAAAATGCATAAAATAAATTATATCGTGGTTATTTAATTAAATGAAAAGAGGAGTCGACTAGATTCTAGTCTACTCCCCCTCTTTTCATTTATGTTTAATTAATATCATAATACAATATAAAATTTTTTTTAATTATATAAAATTGTTTTCATAACCGTGGGCGTTATTGTTGGAGTAAAAAAAAAAATAATAAAGTAGAGAAAGTTTTTGATTCAAATATATAATTTTATGTGTTTTTTGAAATTACAGTAAATTTAGTAAAATTATACAGGATAAAATGATCAACATTAAAGATTCGGTTTATCGATCATCAATTAGATATATTCGCTTAGTTTCTTTCATCATTCTCAAAAAGAAAAATGTGAAGGCGTTAACCTGGGCTTAGCCGGGAATTGAACCCGGGACCTCTCGCACCCTAAGCGAGAATCATACCACTAGACCACCAAGCCACAAATGTTGGGTATAAAGGAAAATTTAAATTTTTATAGTATATTTAATAATAAAAAAATCTAAATAAAAAAAACATTTTTCCAAAAAATTTTTTTTTCAATAATAATAAAGTAATGTACATGACGTCTCGTAACTAAACCACATTAAATAATGAAAGCAGTAAAGTTCATTACTATGATCACGTAAAAACATTTTTTGATATAAAACTTCGCTAGCGCAATTACTTCATGTGATAAATAAGAACTGCGACTCTGCGAGTTTACATTGACATTGTTGGAGAAAAACGACCACAAGTTGAAAAGATCATATTGATAAGATTGAGGAATCGATTACGAGTTATGGGATAATATTCACGTGACATTAAGACAATTTCCAGTATTTGTTGGTACATTCGTTTGTCATTGTTATATTGTATCATATTGTTTACTTGCATCATATGTCGTTATTTCTTCTGTTTTAAAAAAAATTTCCCTTTTTGAAGTAACACACACGTGAATTATGTATTTTTAGACTTGCATGGTGTAACCTAGAACAAAGTTTTCTCTTAAATAATCAAATGTATGAAGTGTAACCTTTTGCGTAATTAAGAACAGTAGAAAAACGTGTTTTAGGAAAAATGAATAATGACTTTACTTCAGCATATTTTCAGTCTAACGGCACTAATGCTTATACAACAGTTGATCCTCAACAGATCAGTACAGGTTATGATGGTCAACAAAACATTTCTACTTATTCTTGGGCCATACCTGAACAACAAACAACGTCTTCAAATATTTTAACATCTACTTCAATGAACCCTAATAACCTTTCTTCTCCCGCCAAAAATGCCTATCCTACACCTAGTATGGAAACAAACGCAAATAATAATTTTATACAAATACAAAATACTCCGGTTGTTGGTTCGAATATAAGAAACTCTAAAAGTAAACTTGGTGTAGAGAGTACTATGAAAAATGTCACCAATAACACATCTCATATAAACATAAACATAAATGGTAACAATAGATCACCCGAATATGGTGAGTGAGTGCCTTTCTTAAAATATTTTTTCTCAAAAAGGATTTGTTACTAAATTTTATTTTATATTATTTTATGTCATTTCATTATTTCGCGTTATTTTGAATTTTCTTCATTCCGATTTAAAGTTGATTCTACTCAAAAATGTGTACAAGCGGTACGTTATTAATTAATTATATTGATTTAAATTGATTTATTCTTATTGATCAAATTTTAAATTAATTAGATATTGGAAATCAATTTTGAATTGATCCGAGTTTGTATCGATTATAACACTAGCGATTGGCTTTATGAACCAGAATTATTACAGTAAATAAAAATTTAAAATTAATTTTTTTTTTTAATACAAATAATTCTTTCAATAATTAAATTAAATTTCAATTAAAAGGTATAAAACTCGTCTTCAAGGAAATTTGTCTTATCTTGCGACAGTGGCTGATGAATATACTGGTAACCCTCGAAATGTAAATAATAATAATAATAATAATAATAATAATTATATGTAATAATAATGATGATAATAATAATGATAATTTAATTTCTTTCTGTAGGAAATAAAGCCAAAAGTTATTCCTGATTTAAACCCATTGCCTCCACCACGTGGATCATATGGAAAAAATCTAAACAATCTTATTCAAAAAGCTGCACAAGCATTCTCTAATCACAAAAAATTTCACCATCGTCCAGTAAATACCACTTTGCCTTTAAATGCAACCAATAATAATGCTTCCTTTTCCAACCAAACATTAGATACATCGTCATCTCCTCGTCAATATAAAGTAGGTTCATCAATGGGATCAATGATGTCATCTTCGCAATATCAACAACAAATGTATCAAAAGCAACAATCATCATCATTACAACCGCCTTCTCAACCACCATCTACACAAATGCCACAACAAATGTCACAACAAATGCCACAACAAATAATGCCACAACAAATGCCACAACAAATTCCACAACAAATGTCACAACAAATATCACAACAAATACCGCAACAAATACCACAACAATCTCAACAAATACATCAACAAATGCGTCAACAACAACTATCACAACAACCGTCACAACAGCCACCACAACAACCGCCACAGCAACAACAACAACAACCACCACAGCAACCACCACAACCACCACAACAACCACCTCAACAACCTCAACAACAACCACCTCAACAACAACCTCAACAACCACAAAATCCACATTCTCAACAACAAAATATACATTCTCAACAACATCAACAACCGTCATCACAACAAATTCATCCTCAACAATCTGCAGCAACAAATAGATATCAGAATTCAATGTTACCATCAGTCACAATGGCATCATATCAACAACATCCATCCTCTTTACAACAAAATATGGTTGCTAATAATATTCCCGAATATTCAATGAATCCAATGAATTCAATGATTACAGCAGCAAATCAAGAACATTCTTATCATCAAGTGTTGCCACCATTAGTTGGATTAGGAGGTATGCCAATAAGTGGTAGTCCTAACACTAGTGGTGGTAATGGTAATAATATTAGTAATGGTGGAAATGGTGGTGGTGCGGGTAATGGCAATGGTAATAATGGTGGTAATAATGGACAAACAACAGGAATGTTACCATCAATAATTGGTTTAAATGATCAATACGGTATTCCTCAACAGCAACAACAACAGCAACAACAGCAACAACAGCAACAACAACAACAACAACAACAACAACAGCAACAACAGCAACAACAACAACAACAACAACAACTTCAACAATTACAAAATGTTGGATTTCCAGGATTTATAGGAGGTGGGAATAATGGAATATCAGGCGGTGCAGCAGGATTTGGTCCTGCTAATGCGTACGGAATGATGAGATATCCAAGTAATAATAATGGAATGATGAATAATAATGGAGTTGTTAATAATAACAATATTGGAATTAATACTGGTTATGGTAGTAATAATATAGTAGGAAATGCGTTGGGATTGTCTGGTATGATAAATAATGATAATAATATGTGAAGATAATTATTTGAGAATTTACTGTTTTGCTTTTAATATTGTCTTTTTAATGAGGTAAGAGAAGAACTTTCTTGAAAAAAAAAAAAAAAAGTTTTTTTTTTTTTTCTTTTTTAGATATGTTCTATAGATCTACTTTTATTATTTTTTTTTGTCTCAATAAAATTTTTGATTTAATTTAGAATACAGAATACAGTATATTATAGTATATCATAGTATATTACACGTATAATATGTTAATATATCAATATATTTAAACATGCATGAAAAAAAAAAATATATTTGGTATTCAAAAATTTTATTTTTATGAATTAATGGAAATAAAAGTTTTATTTATTCATTAATCCTTTGAAATATAGTAAAAAATGTACTTAGACAAAAAGATTTTATGTTCTATATAATCATCGAATTTCTATATACTTAATTTCCAAATTCTCTGGTGGAAATAGTTTTTAACATTTACCATTGCAACCTTTGCAGTGTTTCGGTTAGGAATTCGTAAATTCATTTTTTTTTTGATCTGCAATGATTTGATTTTTTTTTTTTAAAAAAAAAGAGATATTATGTATTTCTCTAATAAGGAATTCGAATCCTTTTTTTTTTCAACGAATCATGTATATATAACAATTAAATTTTAACAATTAAATTTTAACAAAATAAAAACTAAATAAATCAAAAATAAATAAGTGCATGAATTAAATTATGAATTGTTCTTATATATAAAATAATAAATAAATAATATTAAACTTGAACTCCACTTTCTAACGATATTCCTGCTAGATCACTAGATCCTACTCTTATTCCATCATGACTTTCTCTTTCCATTTGATTTGCAACTTCAACGGCTGCAGGTTTGACCCATTCCGGTGGATCTGCAACACATCTCGTAATTGGATCTACCCAACCTTCATATCTTTCGAAAACTGTGTAATCAAATGGTTTAAATTTTTCTTCAATTAATTGATATTGTGCATCTTTTTCGATGCATTCACCTTCTTTATGTTTTCTTCGACGACGAGGTTTAGCTTCCAATGGTTGTTCGTCTAAAAGTAATTCCTCTAATTCATATGTGGCATCAAAATTGATTCTATCTGATGATGGACGAAAAATTGGATTTAATCCTTTAGTTTCAAGTGCAGGCCATTCAATATTACGGAAAAAAGGATGACTTTGAATAAGTGCAAATCCATTTGGTCCACAACCTAAACGTTTTGAAATGTCACGCTCAAGAAACTAAAAATATTAAATTATATTAAATTATATTAAATAATATTAAATAATAATATTAAAATGAATAAAATAAGAAATTCAATTAATTAATAATCTAATTAATTAATTAAATTATATCAATTATTAAAACTTACACCCTGAACTGCTGAAATACAAGCAGGACTGACTGGTGGATCCATATCAGGATATTTAATTGGTGCTTTAACAATCATCTTTTTTAATTCTTCTTGAACGTCACATTCAAAAGGACGCTGTATTATTTATAAACCAATAAAATAATATTATAAATATATGTGTTATAAATATCACATAAAAAATCAATTTCATAAAAACAAAGGGTCAGAATTATTATTTACCTTTCCATATATACATTCGTAAAATAAAACTCCTAAGGACCACCAATCAACAGTGGGACCATATCCACCTCCTCTAAATACTTCCGGAGCTAAACAATAATTATAAATATAATATATAAATATAATATGAATATAAATATAAATATAATTCGAATATAAATATAAATATAATTTAAATATAAATATAAATCTATTTATTAAAACTAACCCATGTAAGCACATGTTCCAGAATGAGATGTTAGTGGTCTATCCATCCTTACATGTGTTGCTATATTAAAATCAGTTATATGTGTATGGCCTTTGTCATCAAGAAGAATATTGTCTGGTTTAATATCTCTGTGATTTAATGATAGAAATATATAAAAAAAATATAATTAAATTTATAATTTGATTATCGTAATTTGATTTATTTCTTCTTTTTTCTTACTTTTTTTTTTTTTTTTTTTTATCATAAGATCCAAAATAATCAAAATAATTCTAAATAATCAAAAATAATCAAAAGTAATATAAATTATATTAAAGTAATTATTAAAGATACCTATGAACTATTCCCTTGGAATGTAAATATCTTATTGCGCATGAAATTTCGGCTATCCAAAAACGAATTGCATCCTCCGTAAATGTTTTACGATTCAAATGAAACCTTAAATCTCCTCCCATCCTATTAAAAGATAATGTAAATAATAATTTTCTTAATTAAAATCAAAATCTTTTTTTTTTTTTAAAAAAAAAAAAAACGAAAATAATGACAACAACAACTTTCTTCAATTGAAGAATTCATTTTTGAGCATACATTAGATCCATAACCATATACATATATTCATCATCATGGAATGCAAAACGAAGATTGCATACCAATGGATGATCCAATTGTTCCAACATTGATCTCTCCCGAAGTATATTCCGAAGTGCATCCATTCTAATGCATTCATCCTTTGAAATATATTTTAATGCGAAAAGTTGTTTGTTATCTTTTCGTTCTACAATTCTGACCTATTATTTAATAATAACCTGTTAATAAACATTATTATATTTGATATTTGATGAAAATTGTTCATAATCAAATTACTTATCATTACCTTCCCAAATGCTCCTTTCCCAACAACGCGTAATAACCTAAAATGGTAGAGGTTGGCTTTTCATTTATGAAATTATATATTTATTCAGTATTAACAACAACTATTTGATAAAAAGATAAAAAATATTAATACCATTAAATAACTAACCAAATTAACTTACCTTCTTCATTGAAGTCAACATCATATTTCCCGTTTGCAACTCCCATTAAAGAATTAAATTTTGAGGTAAAAGTTATATTATTTCACGAATACAAATATAATTGTTATTTTACTGTCACTATTTATGGTTTTTTTTTTAGGTTTATTTATTTATTTTTATGACGAGAAAAAGTCAAACATGTTTTTTTTATAGGTTTCTAATTTTCCTAATTTGAGAAAGAAAGATTGTCGTTATAATCATCGTGTAACAGGTTTTGTGGGTTATGAATCCCCTGTACGACCATATAAAGAAAAGTATAATTGTAAAATAATGCTTAAAAAAAAAAATAAAGTTGGTAATGAAATAGAGCATTAAATAGTGTGTAAAAAGTGTTTAATTAAAACTTTATTTTTAATCTGTCGATTTTTGGTTAATAAAATAAATAGATTAACAATTATTCCGTTTCATCAAAAGCATCCATAGTTTTAATTATCATAATTATCATATCTAATATTGAATTAACGGATATTCGTAATATCTTTATATTTGTACAATTAAATTTTCTGTTATTTTCAAAATAAAAAATAAAGAATAAGGAAATTAAAAAGAGTAAAGAATAATTAATAATTAATAATAAAATTCGAAAAATTAATAAAGATAAACTTACACAATTAAATTAACTTCTTCTTCTACTGTAATTATTCTTTCTACCTGTTCTGTTTTTAATTCTTTGTCTACCTTCAAGACTTTTTCTGCAATATTTGCAAGTTGTGAAGATGGAAAAGGTATGTTTAGAGTCCTGGAAGTTATTTATTATATTTTAATTTCCGTTAATATGGAATTTATATAAAATTTTTTATGTTAAAAAACGGTGGAAAAGATTACATAATCGATGGATATATATATAAATATATATACGTATATAATTTAAAAAAAAAAAAACTTGCATCGAGTGCACCTCGTTGGCTTCGTTCATTATTAATTGGTATTGAAACAACAAGAACTCCTTTTTTTGGTTTAAATAAATGACAAAATATATAAATAAATCACATGATCAATAGACAAAAATAAAAATGATAATCATTATTTATACATTAAAACCCAGAGAACTGTTTTCAATAAATAGAAAATAGAAAATATAAAGCTATACAAAAAATATTCATCGTAATAAATATAATAAAAAAAAACTGCGAAATGATCACTGTTGAACATATAATACATGATCTACATTTTCATCAGCTTCTTTACGAGATGTTTCTAATAAATCAGCTAAGCTGACATTTCTTGAATGAGTAAGATTATTAATAACCTTGACGGCATCCACCGCCTTCTTAAATGTCCTACGAGCATTAAAATTATGACGAACACTATTCAATAGGTCAGGATTTGGTCCATCCATGGGACTTGGTAAATGATCGTTCAGCCATGAATGGTTAAGCGCTTCGTGAGAAGTCATTCGAGCGTCTGGATCAACAGTTAATAGTCTCACGATAAAATCTTTGCCTAACACAAAAGAAATATTTAAAATATAAATATATATTATTATGTATAAAATGAAAATTGATTATATTAAATGTTATATATGTAATATCCGAATTATCATATTACCTGTATCCGTTATTCCAGCCCAGTGTTCTACGGGTTCGAATTTATAATCCCCTCTAAGAATTGCATGCATTTCATCCTTACTGGACTCGTGATCAAAGGGTGTATAACCACACAATAAAAAGAATGTAATCACACCAATGGCCCACATGTCAACCGGTTTTCCATGTCCAGATTTCTTAAAAATTTCGGGAGCCTTTAAAACACACACACATACAAAAAAAAATAAATAAATGTTGAGAGTTTTGGAATTAACAAAAGATCCATGAAAAATAGATTTCATCATTAAATTACCATGTAACCAGGTGTACCACATGTGGTGGTGAGAATATGAAACTTTTCGGAATCGATAATCCTAGATAATCCGAAGTCTGCGATAAGAAGATCGGAATCCTCGTCAGTCGTTCTGAAGAGAAGATTTTCGGGCTAAGTGAAAATAAAAAATTTCAATAATAAATCATATGAATCAAATTTAAATAACAATTTAAATAAATAATATCATTCTCTTCATTCTCTTTCACACCTTAAGATCTAAAAATATCAAAATATTCCAATGTAATTATTAATTTTTTTTTTTTAAAAAAAAAAAGAAACGTAGATAAGATATTTAAAATGAGTAAGAAAAAGTCGTGATCTTTGTAAATTACTAAAAAAAAAAAATTACCTCTGTGAACGATATCGTTATCGTGAAGATAAGAAACGGCCTCCGTTACGCTTTTTATGATATGAGCTGCATCACGCTCATTATAATACATTTTTGCACAAATACGGTCGAACAATTCCCCTCCTTTTGCATAATCTGTTACCAAATACACTTTAATTGAAAAAATTTTTTATCAATAATAACTTATGATTACTTTATGAAAACATGTAAAAAAAAGACCAATTATAAAAAAAAATTCGAATGAAAAAATTTCGAAAACTTACAATTGTTATATGTTTCAAAATAATCTACTAAAGTTAAAATATTTCGATGCCCTTGTGAAATCCTTTTCAAAACCGCAATTTCATTACGAACCATATGTTCTCTACCTTCCATCAATTTCTTATTAATGACTTTTACAGCGTAATATTCACCAGTTTTAACCTATTTGTATTAAATAAAATTAATTATGAATGAATACTGTTGATTTTATTGATAAATGCAAACGATTTGGTAGAAAAAAAAAGTTATTACATGTTGGGCTTCTGGAATTTAGTAGAAATCATAACCATTAAAAATGTTTTATATCAAAAAAAAAAAAAAAAAAAAAAAAAAAGGAAAAAGAGAAAAGTAATGAACGACTATATGATAACTATGATAGAGTGTTTGTTATCTTAGAATTACAAATGATAAAAGTTAGATAAATAATCTTACCTTTTACCACAGCATATGTGCCTTGCCCTAGGGTCCTACCAGTTTTATACTAGAGTTTAAAATTCCAACATGTAAAAAAAAAATAAAATGTCAGTTGTTTCTTTAAACATTGAACGAAATATTCAAGCGCGTAACATTTTTTGAATTAACTATAACCTGGCAAGGCACAGTAGCAACATTCGCCATTTAGAATAATATTAATTGAATTATTATTAAGTAAAAATAACAAAAGAAGACAAGAAAGGAAACGTCGTGTTTCTTTGGCTCTTTTCTATAAATGAATGGTATCCCAACTTCATAATTAAATCATTTATATGCAACACTAAAAGTGAGTGGTTACACAGGACAAAAAGATGGTAATACTAGTAAAATAGAAAGAGCAATTTTTTTGATATCCAGATTTTTATTGGTTAATAATTCTATCAGCCATTATCTAATCTATTGTTTTTCTAGCATCAAATATTATTAGTAACAACCTAGAACCGCTTTTGAATAATTTATTATCCTTAAAGTTTTTTCTATTTATACTTTTACCCTTGAAAATATTTAAAAAAAGATTATTGGAATCATGATTTACTTAATATTATATCAGTTATGTTAATAAAATTAGAAAAATTAGATTCTATTTTTAAAAATAAGACTGACTGTTGCTTCTATATAGATAATAAACTAGTTAAAATTGTTCTTTATTAGTAAAATAAGCGAATAACAAGAAAAAAATAAAAATATTCTCGAACCTATATATTGATATGACGTATTGAAAATTTTTATTTATATATGTTTTTTAAAATAAATTATACCATAACAATAATAGTTACATATAAAGATAAAATAATAATGATTGGAATAAATGTTAAATGATCTAAAAAAATTCACTAAATTAAAAATTGAGATCTCGTGTTCGGGAATTTTCTAAAAAAAAATTGTACCACGTGAGGTTCATATTTCATCTTGATTTTTCAGTTTTCATTGAAATTGAGAAAGAAGAAAATAAGGGGTTCCTTTATTGTACACTAATTTTTTTACTTTAAGTCTGCTTTCATTAAAAGAGTTTATTGAAAAACACTATCCAGGCTAGGAATGAATAAACTATATATTTCTGTAAATTTAGAGAAAAAAAACTATATTATAAAGTATTAATAATAGAATTAAATAGAATTAAAATATGCAATTTATTATATAATTAATGTAGATATTATTTATTAATTAATGATTAGTGTTAATGAATTGGAATCTGAAGAATTATTAGAAAGATTGGAAATATTATGAAGTTTACCTTGTTGAATCCAAATTTCTCCCTCATTTAATTTTTGTAATGAATTCAAAGATTTGAAACAACTTTATAACGAAACAAAAGGTTTTACTTCTCTTCAAAAATCTTCAATAAGCAGCATTAGTTTCACTTAATAAACTTAATTTTATCAAAAATTTTATTATTACAATAAGATAGTTTTACTTTATTTTTTTACCTACAATTATAATTACTAAAATTTTATAGTCTACAAGTATACAATTATATCTATAGAAACAGTATCATTTATTTATTTAGCTAAATTCATTAAATCAGTTGAAGTTTTCTTTCAAAATTAAGTCTTTTAAACAAGAACAAGTCAGGCAATCAATTAAGTTCAATAATACAAATGAGATCGCTAATGAGAAATATTAGGAAATGGATAGTAATAATTACATCTTATCAATTTTTACATCGGGATCAACATCAAGAGTCAAGTAAGGATGTAATCAACAATTGATTGTTACAGTTTCAATAGGTAATAATTGATCTTATTATATTCATTAGGTAAATTAAAGAAAGTACTATTTTTTTTTACTAATTAAAAGACCATCTTTTCAAATCATTAGGAAGAGTCACTATGGGATAATACTCTATAATAGCATTAAAGTGTAAAAAGAAATTTTTTTTTTCATAATTGAGAACATATTTATGAAATCATCAAGGTTGCTGATTCACAAAATGAATATAAGACAATCTACTTGTGGATTTCAATTGTACAATTCAATTAATTACATCATCATCAATTACCAATTGTATAAATTCACATGCAGGTGACACTATTAAAATGAATATAAATTTTATGCATATATAGATTTTTTTTATTTTACATTATTATTATTATTTTTTATTATTGTATATTTAGTTTAAAAATCATTCATTATACATTTTTGTTTGTGATTATTGTAGATGAAATTTTTTTTTTCAGCAACTATTTAAATCTTTAGCATTTTGAATATGGGTACTTTTCCCTTCAGTCAAAATCAAACAAAAATGAATAATCAACCGAAAAAATCAAAACAAAAACCAGGAAGAATTTGACCCATCCCAAATGATCCCTGCTTGTTCCCTGTTTTACTGATTTAATAACATTTGAATATACAGGAAGAGAAAATCTTCTTTTAGATTTTGTTGAATCTGTATCAAAACCTACTAAATGTTGTTTTTTAATGAAAAGAACCTATGATGATGATAATAATGATTCATTTTATGAATTTCTTTCTGATGAGGAGGTGAATTATCATGAGTGCTATAACTGCAAGAGAGCAAAGTATGAAGAAAAGAAAAGGAGACAAGGAGATAATTATATAACTTTTATTACTAAAGTTAAATTTAATATATATTGTTCTGTCCTAACTTAAAAAATTTATTTTTATAGAAAAAGTCGTGGTAAAAAGAATAAATTAATTTTTTTTTAATTGAATATATTTTTATTATCACTATCATTTTTATTATTATCACTTTTATTACTCTCTTTCTCTCTCCCTCTCTCTCTCCCTCCCTCTCTCCCTCCCTCTCTCTCCCCCTCTCTCTCTTCCTCTATCATCTCTCTTTTCTCTCTCTCTTTTCCCTTCTCTTCCTCTCTCTCTTTCTCATCTCTCTTTCTCTCATCTCTCTTTCTCTCATCTCTCTCATCTCTCTCATGTCTCTCATCTCTCTCTCTCATCTCTCTCTCATCTCTCTCTAATCTCTCTCTCTCTCTCTTCCTCTCTCTCTTATTATATCTTATTATATTATTATCATTTTATTATTACATTTTTATTCTTGCATATATTTTTTTAAATTTATTATCATATTTATTATATATAAATATTATCCATTTTGTATATTAATAAATTTAATGTTAAATGAAAAACTTATTTTTTTTTATTGTCTACTTGAAGTGTGACTTTTAGCATAAATGTTAAAGATTATATCGAAAATCAATTAATCTCAATGAAACAATAATAATAATTAATAGCGAAAGAATTATAATTAGAATTAATAGAATAGATTATTAGATATATTATTTGTACCTAATACAATACAAAAAAATATTTACATTTTCTTTTCCACACCTTTCTGCTAAAAAATGTGGGAAACTAACTATGAGAAGAAGACTTTGTAAAGAAATTGGTATGCTATTTTTTTTTTCTTTACATTCATTCTTCTTTAATGAAGTACGTGTTTCGATAACTTCCATTAAAAAAAGTATGTGTTCAATAACTTTCATTCGTCATATTTTTTCATTTATTTATATAAGAATATAAATATTAATATTAATATTCTAAACATTATTTTTTCCGTTCACAAGAATAGTTGATGATTTTAACGAAATTACAATAGGTTAGGTTTGAGACAAATACACATGGTTAAATAATTTTCAAACTTCCATAAATCAAAGACTATAGAACACTCACTTTTCTCTAGCTTTATGAAATGCATGTGATAATGAAAGGTGTAGTTGTTTTAGGGGACATCTATCTTTTTTAACAATTTGTATGAATTTAATCGCTACGAATTTACGAGAGTTTTTAAAAATATCAAGATAATATTCAATGATTTTGATTATTAAACCATTTTGAAGGTATTAAATATACATTTATATGAATTTATAAGTCTGGGTGATAATTTTTTACTAATATATTTTTTTTTAGCCTTCGAAATGTTAGTTACTTTGCAAGTATTCAATGACAATGTTATTCAATATATGGGTTTTTTGATCTATTCACATTAAGTTTTTTTAAGAAAGTGATAGATGTTCGCAAGGAATATTTTGTCAATAGTGTCAATAGTGTAAATAGTGTAATTTTAGATGTATATGGATAAGGAAGGGATTGTGAATGATTGTGCAGAGGATTAATATAAATTTCGTGGAAATTTTATTATGGTAGAATTTTATGACTTATCATGAACATACAAACGGCGAAAGAGTCAGTTATCGTGGATCTTCCTAATATTTGTCCATTATAGAAACTTTGATACCACTTTAAAAAACGCGAAATTATACAAAAAAAATTGTTTTTATGATGGAAAAACTAATGCTAGTCCAACAGTGAAGATTACTTACTACTGTTAGAATATAATTAATTGAGGCTCTTAATAAGATAAAAATTTGGTAATAAAAAAAAATTTCTTTTACAATTCAACTATAAATTATAATAGAAATCCTATTATAGGATAAATACAGGATTTGTATTCTTGTTATTAAGAAAACATGTCATTTGTAAAGATAAATTTTAGCACTTTAACTTTATTAAGTTTTCCCATATTTTTGATTTGATAAAAATGAAATAATGTACAAAAAGTACCATATTTTGCAACCCGGATATTTTACATGATCTAAATATATTGCCTAGTTTAATTTCTATTACTTATTTGCTCACACGTAATGTACTCAATGTGGGTATAATGAAGAAACTTCGAAATTTGTAAAGTATTGTTGGTCGCAAAATATGATAATAATATCCACACGAAAGTTCTACGGATTCTAGAAAATAATGACCTGTATATCAGTTGCTAGACTGGTTCCTTCAAAATCTCTAACTACACATCAGTTAAATTTTTTACAACTCTCAACCTAGCAACCTCTTGACAAACATTACATTCCATATTCCCCCTACTCATATATGCCTTCTTCTCAAATTCCTCTGGCCATGTCTTCATGGTCCGCCACTGATGATATTCCAAATATGCTGTCTCGTTTCCAACCAAATACTTCAAGTAATTTGCAAGACTCTCGACATTTGGAAAATCCTCAATAAAAATGGCGGATTTAGGATGTGGTAAGTATGAGCGAGTATTGGGTGCTCCCCATACAACAGGCACGACTCCTAAATTAAACGTGTCCCAAAGTTTTTCAGTAGAGTAATCTTGTACTTGGGAGTTTTCAATGGCTAGGTAAAATGGATATTTAGATATGACACAATTTTTCAAATTAGACCAAGAAAAATCCTTGCATTCCGAATCCCACGGAGTATTTTTGTAAACCGTGCCGTAAGACGCAACGGGAATGTGGGCTTGAAGAGTCGGAATCCAAGTTTTACGGAATTCTGTCAAGTGAGAAGCAACGAAGGAGATGAATGTTGAATTTGGGGAAAGGCTTGTTATGTTGAAGGGGGGTTTTTTTCGCCATTCGTTGGGGTCCATTTGAATGTAACTTGTGGGTACATCAGAAGTTTCCTTAAACGTTACAAAGATATCAAAAGGTCCCGGAATATAACTTATTTCCAAACTATATTCTATGAACTTCTGCCCTTCCCATCCTTTCTGTTTTGGTAGATTTGGACTGTTGACACAAAAGAGGGCATCGGCTGTTTTGAGCCCTCTAAATATCCAGTTTATCCAGTTATCTTTCTTCCACACACAAGGTATGTCACAGTTTGCTAAGGTTCCATCATACTTATATTTGAGCCTTTTCATGTCTTGTTCGGTATACCAGTCACCTTTTGTTATGTATATCCTTACTTCCTGGTTTTGATTTAAATTTCTTGTTAAGTAGTGCCTTCGTTTCCATCCTGTTAAGCTTTCAGGCTTGATAGTAAGCTCATCCAATGTGTAGTTTTTCTCCAACATTTCCACCGGATAATCTTTGATACGATGAGTTCTTATTATGAAGAAATTGGAAAAGAGGAATAACGTCACTGCACAGAGAATATATATTCGTGTAGATTTCATAGCTTTTATAGCTTCCATGGCTATATATAGTCTCTAATTTTTCTTTTTCTTTAATTATTTATTCTCATATGTTTCAGTATGCTAGTATGATTCGTTCTAATTTTTATTATTTTTATACTATGATATTATCAGTGAATTTAAAATTCAAATTTTAAATTATGTGCGGAATATGCATAATTTAGAATTTTAAGTGCGGATGCTTTTTAAGGGTTTTCTTGAACATTGAATTTTTAACAGCAGGCATTATTCGTGACACCTTTTATTAGTCATGCATTCAATTTTCTCTTTCACTAATCATTTATAGATTATAACTTACGCTGTTTTATCTCATGTCATACAAACAATCATTGTAGTGTAAATGTGGCACAATAACCTGTTAGCCGACTGAAAAATCTTTTAAGGAGATTTTCAAAAAGAAAATGCTCATTTCGCGTTGGAGTGAGCATTGTTTATGTGATCGTAGAAGCATCTATGATACTTTTAGGTATTAGTTGTAGATCAGTTGAGTAAAAATATTGATATTGAATACGTATAAAATCAACTATCACGTGGGGTTAGGGTTAGGGTCAGGGATTGGTTATTTGAATTAAATTTCATTTTTTTATTCTTAAATTTTTGTCAATGGTATTTTAACAGATACAAAATATCTAAAATCATTAGAAATCCTTTTTTAAAGTAAAATTATAATAGTTAACTATTTTTAGTATATTCTCAAATTTGATAGGTATAATTAAATACAGGAACTTCAACTCCAGTAAAAGTTGATCAATTTAAAATTTTAACCGATAATTCTGAAAGCTTAGGTTCTGAACTATCAATTTCTACGGTTAAAATTTTATTTCTATATATAGTAAATAAAGTTTTAATGCAAAAAGACTGATTATAACTAAGTTCCTATTATAGAGGTTCCCGCACTGTACGCTGTACTAACTTTGTACTACGTACTAATGTACTTAGTACAAATCGTACTAGTAAAGTACAGATGTAAATAACTATTCTTAGTACATTTAGTATATTCAGTACATAGTACGAAAATTTTGTCATCTGATATTTGAATGTTCATCGAAATTTTTATTACTGAAACTCCGAGTGTAATATTACATCAGTAAATTTTAATAGGCGAAGGTCTCCGGAGGATTTTCGTTGCTAGTGAAAACCTTTGGTGGAATTTTTACGTTTTTCGACTTCGCTTGCGATTTACAAAGCGTAGAGCGATTTTCTACTAAAGTATTTCTATGATAGATAGAACAACCTTGTTCTTGGGCTACAAAATGATATGTATTTCATCCCAACAGAATCGATATTCGCGGAGATCATCCGGTTTAAAGAAAAGCGTCCGTGATAAAATCGTGAATTGCTGAAAATCTCCACGATTTTTTTCACAGACGTTTTTCTTTAAACAGATGATCTCCGCGAATATCGATGCTATTGGAATGAAATACATATCATTTTGTAGACAATAACAAGGTTGTTCTATTTATCATAGAAATACATTAGTAGAAAATCGCTCTGTGCTTCACAGATCGCGAGCGAAGTCGAAAAAACGGAAAAATATTTAGTGCAAAATCATTATCCAATTAAAATCTTTAAATATCATATGATTTGCGGTATCCTCTTAAGAACTTTTATTGTCACGTGGTCAATTTCTGTTCTTAAAAATAAAAAATAAAAAATAAATGGAAAACAAAGCAATCAAATTAAATTGTAAGAATTACAAACAGAAAAGGGGCAAAATCTCACTGTTTAGTAATAGATATGCTAGTTAGTTATTTTAGCTATTATTCTATTTCAATAATATGAACAATGCATCATTTGCTTTATAATTACAAATTTATTTTTATTTTATTTTTTTATCTGTCAAAAAAAAAAGTTCAATCCCAGAATAGTAAAGATAATCATGTCATTTACGTAATCAATTGAACTTTCACCTTTATTTCCTGCTAATATATAAATCGAATCATGTTTGACAATAAAAAAAAAAAAAAAATAAATTAACTTGTTAAATTAAACATTAATTAAAATTTATAACAAATGATCAACATTTTGTTTTCTTTTACAGAAAAAAAAATCAATAAATTTACATGCAAAAAAAAAAGGAAAAGAATTTAACACTGAATTGATATTGATTCGATATTTAAAACCACGGAATACCTACTGTAATATAATAATAATAATAATAAAAAGTCACCGAAAATAAATGATAAATATAATAATATATATATATATATATAATTGTGAATTGAATGATACTATATCTACAACCAAAAAATTTAAATTTTTGTTACAACATTTACAATTTGAATTCAAATGACAATGACAATAATAAATAAAATGAAAAAAAAAAGATCACTTCATGAGATGTTACATCAAACTGTTCATATTACAATTTCAGCTCTCCAAGAATTTTCGAACACATATTTTTGTATTGCCATGTATCTCCCGCTACTCTACGGAATTGTAATCCATGAACCCCAAGTAATAATGGGACTTTTACAATAAAAATTTCAAATCTTACAACAAGATCTGTAACATTTGCAGTTGTAAGAGATGATGGATCATTATAACTACTATAATTAATATACTGATTGTCTCTATTAGCGGAAGTTGATAGTGAAAGCCGAACTTCTCCATCAGCAGAAAAATGAAGATCCTGTCCTTGAGCATAACTATCCTTATATGAAACTGATGATGCGGTAGAAGCGGCAGAATTTCCGGATGAATAACTACTTCTACGATTGAAATGTACGTGATGATGATTTGTAATAGTATTTTGCACTGGATAATTTTGTTCACCTTTATAACCACCATTTGTATAAGTAGGACTTACAACTGATTTTAGATCTATACTTGGTATATGAACACATTCGAATCCTCCGCGACCTTCACGCCATTTAACACCAATCCGATCTAGAACTCTTATAAGATCTTGTCGTATAATTGACGGAGGTTTTGTAGAAGTTGTCGCAACACTAAACAACCCTTTTAAATATACTGGTCGAATCCAGGAATCAGCTGTCCCACCAGGTAAAGGAGAATGTGGTGATGATGAAGGTGGAAAATTGAAATCATTTTCTATATTCTGTTGTAACGCATTGTGAGGCACCACATTGATGGACATTTGTGCACCACTTGACGTACTTCTTTGATGTGAAGAACGTATTGGAACTGGCTCAAGCGTTGAATTATTTGAAGGATTTGGCTCAACTAATTGAGGCAAATTTCCAACAGCGACCCTTGTAGTAGGATTCCTAACTGTGTTATTTCCGTTAGGAATATGAGAATGTCTGTTATTATTATTATTTCCAACAGAGTTTCTCGGACGATGACGTTTATGTTCAGTTTCTGACATAGAAGGGGTTCTTGTTAATATATTGGTAAACCTGTGGGAAAAGTGACCGGGATTTTCTTTTTTTGGACCATTGGGAGTAGAACCAGAACGTTTATGTTCTGTAGGACTTCTTGGAGTCATCGAAGTTGGTGAGGTTGGTGGTGACAGGTAATCACGAGGTAGACCGGTTAAAGCTAAACTCAAACGTCTCATTATTCCTCCTCCAGAATTATTACTAGTGGTTGGTTGTTCAATGCTATTTCTACCATAATTTACTTCGCCGCTATCTTCATCCTTGGTTTCTTCCGGTATATCTCCCTCATTCAATGCAGGTGGAACTGTTACCATGTTACCTAAATCACTTTCACCACTTGTTTTCATACGAGGTCTAGGAACAGTTGCGCGTCTTACTACAGAGCTATTTAGATTAGGTGGAGGTATATTGGCTTCAAATCCTAAATCATTTTGATGGGATGGGTCAGGTACTGGAATATGGGGTACATGTACATTATTATTGACCTCTAAAAGGGATGATGACGAACCGAATCGGGGAATACCTCCTTGTTGTATTAAACGATCTCGTTCGATTTTTTCTTTTACAAGATAATAGATTGAAATTAATGGATGAACTGCTTGAGTTGGATCGGCCGTAATAGTTTTGTCTTCATGAATTGAGCTACTCGAGCCCGATAATTTTTTACGATAATATTCAAAACCACTACTTCTTTTCCTGCCATCAAAAGATCCACTCGGATAATTATTGTAATGTTGAGCTTTAATCGAACTTTGATAAGATTCACTTTTTATAATATTTTCTAATCGTGTTTTAATTTCTTGCTCAGTACCGAATTCAAATCCTGTCATTCCATGAATTACCTCCGGATCTAGAGGAAGACTAAGTGGGTTTCTTGGGGGTAGATAATTTTCTTGAGGTTTATCATAGCCTTTGTTCATCCATGGGTGATTTATTACTTCAGCAAGCGAGGCACGATGTATAGGATTGGTAACAAGCATTCTCGAAAGAAGGTGTTTACAATCTTGAAACATAAAATTGTATTACAAATCGTATTATCATTTTTACTGAAATTGGGAAAAAATTATTTAAAAAGGTCTTTGATTTTTACTTACCACTACTCAACCATCCAGGATACTCGACAACTCCCCTCTTAATTTTTGCGTGTAAAGCAGGCATACTTTGGTCGTCGAATGGGACTTTCCCACAAACTAGAACATAAAGAACAATACCAAAGCTCCAAACATCAACTTCTGGACCGGTATATAATTTTGCATTTAATAATTCTGGAGCCGCAAAATACAATGAACCACAAAATGTGGATAAATGAGATCGCGGAGAATAAAGATTTGATAACCCAAAGTCGATAATTTTGATAGAACCAGACTTTGATATTAAGATGTTTTCAATTTTCAAATCTATAAATTTAATTAAAAAAAAAAAAAAAAAGTGTTAAAGTGAGAAAAATAGTTATTAAATTTAACATTTTTGATAATAAAAAGAAATGAAATAAAAACAATAAACCGGGAATACATCAAAAATAATGTTTACCTCGATGTACTATGGAATTTCGATGACAATAATCTAATTGTAGTTAAAGAAAAGAGTGAAGCTTGTAAAATTTTAGTTACCATGAAAAAAAAAAGCAAGAATTGATTCTTAAAATTCTTATAAAAAATACAAATACCAACCCAAAGCGCTCACAATTTGTCTCGCAAATTTTCGGGCATGCTTCTCTTTTAGTTTACCATGACTAATGATATAATCCAACATTTGACCACCGTTAACATATTCGAAGAACATATAATAATGATGAGGTAGTGCCATTACTTCTTTAAGTTGAACTATGTAAGGATGATGCAATAGAAGCATTATCGAAGCTTCTCGTACAGTGCGAACTTCTTTATTATCATCCTTGTTGGACGATTCCTTTTCTTTTCCATCCTGAGGTTTATCTGACGCTCGTGGAATAATTTTTACTGCCAACTTAAAAAAATATGATTATTTGTCAATTTATAATATTTCGTTGGAAATTATGAATCCTTTCTTTTCTTTCTTTTCTTTTCTTTTTTTTTTTTTTTGATTTAATAATCAATTTTAATCAATTTTAATCAATTTTAATCAATTTTAATCAATTTTAATCAATTTTAATCAATTTTAATCAATTTATCTTTTAATATATTGGCAGATTAAAATTAATTAAATTAATTAATTAATTATATAGAATCATACCTTTTCACTAGACAGTGAATGTATAGCTAATTTTACTTTTCCCATACTACCCGCGCCCAAAGTTTTTGTGAGAGCATAATTTCCGAGAATTTTTTTTGGTTTAACTTTTGAAATATGACTACCGGTACCTGCAGTAGTAGTAGTAGTAGTAGTAGTAGTAGTAGTAGTAGTAGTAGTAGTATTCGGTACGGTCTCCGGCTTATAATCGGAAGTTGCTAGAACGGATAAATGAGAGTTTGTATTGTGTTAGTTGCGTTTCAATAGAAGTTTTTTCCGTGTTTACTCTTACAAACTCACTTTGTCGTTGAGTTCCTTCATAAGTCGGTAATTCTGGATCGCATATTGGATACTGCTTTACTTGAAGTTTATTATGTTCATTATCAGATCCAGGTACCGAAACATCGATTTCAGGATTTTCACTTGCTGGATGAAACTGTTCGCTTTCGTCCTCTGTAGAACTATGAGAGATACTATTGCCTTTATTTACATGATAAGTTTCCGATGTTTCATCAAATGTTCTGTGGCTTGAAGCGTAGCCATTTCCTTTACTGTTACCCTCTACTGAAGTTGAAGTTGAAGGTATGACCTTCTGCAATTGATCTCTATTATAATGTTTGTCTATTGGCATTGAGGTAACCCTGGGTGTTGCTGTGGGTTGTTGAGTGGTTGGCATGTGGTTTCTTAGTAAAAAAAAAATAATAAAAAGAAGCGAGTAGAAAATGAGACGTTTCTTGTGATTACACTTTTTTTGCAGTACAAAGTTGGAGTAGTACAGAAACCACTGTTTATAGTAATATAACTAAGCCGTCCATTGAACTAATATATTAAAAATATTAAAAAATTATAAACAAGTTTGACGATTGTAAGAACTTATTTTGAATTGTCACACATAATTCCTTATAATTTTTGAATCACATATCAAAAGAGGCGCAGATATATCCCAATTCTAGCTTTCCGAGAGCAAAGCCTCCAGACAAAAATTTTTTTTTTGACGCCAATGTGACTTATACAATTTTTTTACTAATCAAAAAGTGAAAAATGAACAATACTAATTAAAATTCTTGTGTAATCAGACGAAGCAATTTTTCGTCTTTCAACATTACATATTTAAACTTTAAATAGACCTTTTTAACCTTTCAAATTACAAGTTTATAAATATTTCTTAAGTTATTAACTTTTTGAATATTATACTCATAAAAAATCATTACTTATTGTTAAAGATTCTTTTTTTAATATCAAGTATTTTGAGTTTCTAAACTTTGCAGAAAGGTAATAGAGTTCAAAAAGATTTATTAAAATACATATAAAATAAAAAGGAAATAATTTTTTCTATGAACTAATTTTACTACTAATCTTTTAAAATTTTTATTTTATTTAACATTTTAAAACTTTAAATGGTTCTTAATATTTTTGTTAAAAATTTAACATTTTAAAAATATATTTGGGAATCCATTTTTGACGGAAAAATCATGGTTACATAAGTTGATACTCAAAATTTAGATTTGCATTATTTTATTTATTTTTATTTATTTTTATTTATTATTTTATGTGCATTTTGAAATACAAAGAAAATTTCATTAAACTTATCATGTGATCCAATGATGATAATGGTTATACCAAAATATTTTGTGAAAAGTTTTATTGAGGATAAAGATCCTTTTAAAAAAAAAAAATTCATTCATATTTGATGTTACAAAAAATTCAAGTTCTCTATTTATATATTCTACAAGATGGATTTATCCCCAACAAAAACATAAAAAAAAAAAAACAATATATATCGGAAATCGTCTTAGACGGAGGTTATAAATTTACAAATCGGAGGTTTATGATATAATGACATATGGTATATATAATGTGGGTGGTAGTGTAATATGTATGAGAAGTATGGAGAAGTATGAAGTTATAGGAAGAAAAATTGTTGAATTTGGTAATTGTGCAAATTTGAAAGGAGAAAGAAAAAAAAAAAAAAAAAAGAGGAAAAGGGAAAAATGAATGGACTTAATAGGGTTTGGTAAATGTCCGGTTTTTTGATTGTTCACCATTATTGAGATTTTGAAGAAACCGAACCTTTTGACTAATTTCAGCTGAAAATTTTAAACAATATATTATTAAATCAATGAGATTTTTATGTCAATAGAAATATTAATAAAAAATAACAACAAACTTACAAGCTAATGATTTCGACTCGGCCTCAAAGTCATATGTCTTTGTTCCAGAATCTCGATATATAACTAATTTAAAATTAGTTGGAACTTTTTTATTTACTTTACATGAAATTACTAAACCAATATGATAAGATGACTATATAATAATATAGAAATGATATCAGAACATTAAATTTTTTGTTATTTCATTTTGTTAACTTCATGTTATTTCTTACATACCGTTTTCATAGATTCAAACATAGTTCTTGTTTCTGATGGCATTATATGTATATAATCTCCATCAATTGCTAAAACACGTTCGTGACGTCCAACAAACATTGGTATTTTACGATTAACAATATATTTCTAATGAAATATATCATAATAATAAATTTTAATAAATTTATCATTTAATATCTAGAAAAAAAAAAAAAAAAAAAAAAAAAAAACTGGAGAAAATTGATTTATTACCTTATAAACTGACATGTACTCATTGGAGGATACATATTGTGGTTGAGGAGGTTCATTGGTCGTTCTTCGTTTTAAAGAACGTTCTTTATTGGCTAAATAACGTAAATCAAATGTAATTTTTAAAAAATATAAAAAATTAGCAATTATTATTATTTAAAATAAAAAGATTAAAAAAAAGAGAACAATAGTCAAAAATCAATTATTCTTTACTTGTTGGACTTTGTGGTGGTACATCAGCACTTGTAGTACCATTAATGGGTTTCTCCACTAAAGCCAACTCATTTGCATTTCCTTCACTTTCTACAGTTTTTTCCAAATCTATATATTTATCAGTATCAGCAATTTTAAGAGTATACTTATTACTTTCCAATTTGCGTTTACGACAAATTATTCCCAAAACCTCCCGAAAAGGCATTTCTCCTGAAACATTTATTGTTGTGGTATGTGCGACCTCTTCATAAGGAGTAAGAGTAAGTCGAATTCGTAAAAATATTTGATTAGTAAGATCAATAGTAGATACTACTCCGGAAGTACTATTGCCACCATTAACTGTATTACTAGAAGCAGATATTGAATTAATGGTTGTCCCATTAGTATTTATTGATGGAGGTGCAGCCAAAGTTTCCTTAGGTGGAGGTCTCGTCTTGGAGGAAACAGCTTCGTTTTGTTTAACTATGAATAAATTAACATTATAAAAAAAAAAATGTTGAAAAAATTAACATTATAAAAAAAAAAAAAAGTTGAAATTAATATTATAATTATTGATTTCACAGAAACCAATAATATATAAGGTTCTCATACCCTGTGCAGGGGTTGCTTTACACAATGCAAATTGATCAAAGGAAAATTTGGATATTTTCTGTCTTCTTTCCAGAGCTTAAATATTTTAAAATAAAGAATAAATTAATGAAAATTAAATAAAATAAATTAATAAAAAATTTATTTATATGAATATTTATATAAATATTTTTTATAACCATTTTTTAATAACCATTTTTTATAAAAAATTCATACCAGGAAAATCTTCATCAATAACACCATCATCTTCAACAATTCTCATATTCCATCGAACCACATCACATAATGTTTGATCAAGTATAGGTTCTCTTTTCTCATCCCAATATTGATATAAGGTATAACCAATAATTTCTTCCACACTAGCATCTCTTTTTACAATCACACTCATAGGTTTTGTGGGTTCAGCACTAAATGGAAGATAAATTTTTCGTGTTATTGGATTAAGATCTCCTTTTCCAGCAAAGAAACTATATTCTTCCGCAAATGGATTGTCCAATTTATTCTTTTTTTCTGCAATCAATGCAGTTAATGCAGAAAATGGTTTTTTAGATTTTAAAATTATTTTTGATGAATCGGGCATAAGTTTTTTTTCTTCTTCTGGGGGTAATGTGGGTTTAGAAGGTGGACTATTTGAAGGTATAATATTATTATTATCTACTTCGTCCGTTGTCGTCGTCGTTAATAAAGATACTATTGAACCTCTTCTTTCTGTTAAAACTCTATTATCACTTTCTGCCGAAGTTGTAGGTGATAATTGTGGAGTTTGTTCAGTTGAAGAAAGTCCAAGTATACTATCAGGTGAAGTTTTTAAATCCACTCTAGGTGAATAAGAATTTGCTACGGGATTTCCTCGACTTGTAGGTGGTTTCGAAGGTGAAGTTACAAATACTGGTGGAGGAGGTACATTTTGTTTTGGTAAATTTAATTTAGCAAAAAGAGGTTGTGGTTGTTTCCTAATTTTAAAAATTTTATTATATTCCAATTAGATGAAATTAAAAAATGAATTCTATTATAAATTATTATTATTATTATATTCAAAAAATTAAAAATTAAAATAAAGAAATTAAAAATAAAATAAAATAAAAAATATAAAAATAAATCTCTTTCTACATACCCATTATCATCATCATCCAATTCAATATCATCGTCACTATCCCCATTTTCAGTATTGTTAATACTTAATTCTTGTGTTGAATTTGCGTCCCTACTTCGATTTGAATTTATAAAAGTTTTTGGTTTTGTACCTCCTAATAAAGGTGAACAAGCAGCACTACTAACTATACTTTTACTACTAAAATAATCATTCCCTGACATGCTAATGTTTGGAGAATGACAAAGTAGCATCTCGGGATAAGAAGATGCTGCAGTTTTAATATAATCATTTGATAGTACAGTTGGACTAAAGCTTATCACGCGCTCTCCAATACGATCTCCTACACGACGAAGATAACCTACTCGTAGTTGGTGAATAAGATATCTTTCATACAAAAATAAATTCTTTTATTAATTTTTTTTTTTTTTTGAGAAAGGGGAATTTTTAAATCAAAGCGGATCGTAACTCAGAAAATTGAAACCTTCAAACGTACTCTGGATCATTCAGCAGCGACATTGAAAAATTGATAGTGCCAAAACAATCTTTTTGTACGCTTAGCCTTCACGTTTGGCATGGGCAGTTGGTAATTAAAAATTATTTAGAGCGTTAAAATTTCTTTCGACTTTAATCACGTCATTTGTTATATTAACTACTGGTCATTATTGGTTCGGAATTCGGAATGACTGTGAAGTTACTATTTTTGTAAATTTTACCGGTCTTTTGGTGAGTACAAATTCATATGCATTTATGTAAATCACAAAAAGACAAATTTTGACAACTTTTTCACTTTTCTCGTGATCTTAGACTTGTATTAGTTATTTTTAAAGTTAGTTTTCTTATTATATAGAACACGACAAAATGGAATCGAGACCCGCAAGAAAACAGGTACTTGTTTGGTTATTAAAAGAATAATAATTCGCTAGTCAGAATATTTTTTATCCAAATATGTCATTTATGAGATAAAATTTACAGGTTGATGATTCTATGCTCAAATTTGGACCAACAAAAGTATCCCCCGATCGATCTGGCGTATTTTACAATATATGGTATAATAAATGGTCAGGTGGAGACAGGGTAAAGTATGTAAAGTAAGTAGAAAGAAAAAAAAATAATTTTTTTTTTAAAAAAAAAAAAAACTTAATACAAAATCAATTAACTTTTTGTTACTTTAATGCTAATATTAAAAGTTTTATCTATTTTGCATAGAGAAAAAGCAAAAACCCGATGTAAAATAGAACGTGACGCGGGTATGACGAAAGGAGATAGAACGAAAAATACATATTTTTGTCTATATTTTGCTCGAGGTTGTTGTCCATATGGGTAAGAAAATTTCGAATTGTTTAATTGTTTCATAATATTTGGATAATATCAAAATATTAACTATTACCGTTATATTATAATTATTTCATGATTCTACAGAAGCGAATGTAGTTATTGGCATAGATTACCAACAGAATCAGATTTGTTAGACACGACAATAGACGCGTTTGGACGCGACAAATTTGAAGAATATCGTGAGGATATGGGAGGAGTCGGTTCATTTAATAGAGAAAATCGGACGCTTTATGTTGGGTACATTCATATTGGACCTAATATAGAGGTGAGAGGGGATATCCAATTTTAGATTGATTAGGTAAACATTTTTTTTACAAATTTTTAAAATTTTAATTTATTTTTTTTTTAGGAAATTGTCCGAAAACATTTTAGTGAATGGGGAGAAATAGAAAAAAGTAAATATTTTAAATATATATATATATATTTTTTAAAAAAAAAAATAGATTTAATAAAATATTCTAATAAACATTTTAATAATTAATTATCATCTTTAGTTAAAATTTTGAAAGATAAAGGAGTAGCTTTCGTAACATATGAACGTTCACTTAACGCAGAATTTGCAAAAGAGGCGATGTGCAATCAGAGTTTAGATCATGATGAGGTACTTTTATACTTATTATAATAATTTAAATAAATTTGAATTAGTGAAATAATTAATATTTATGATTTTTTTTTTAAAGGTACTTAATGTTAGGTAGGTGGCTTATTTAAAATTTTACACTGATTCATTGTCTATATAATTAATGTCTAATTATATTTCTAATTATATAGATGGGCCACAGATGATCCAAATCCTCGTGCTAAAGAAGAGTATAAGCGTAAAGCCGAAGCCTTGGCGGCCCAAGCGATACAAAAAAGTCTACCTGCAGAATTTACTCTTAATGCCGATTATACAAATAAACGACCTAAAATAGAGGAAACCAATATTCGAGATCAATATTATGGCCTTGAAGGATATGAATCTTTAGAATATTTTGATCCGCCAATGTATCGGAATAAGAATTATCAGATACAACAAGATATACAAGATTCAGATACATCAACAGAATCCAACAACAATAATTTAATATCAAAGGATTATAAAAACACAATAATTTCAGTAGAAACCTTGGAAAATATAAAATCGATTTCACAAAATATTCATAAAACCTCAATGAACACAAATGTCACACGGAATAATAATAATAATAATAATAATACTGCACTGACTGGATTGGCTGATTATGGTAGTGAAAGTGAAAGTGAAGATGAAAATGATAATAATGATAATAACATTGATAATAACAATAATAACAATAAATGAACAAAGAATTAAGAATAAAGAACTTTATTAATTTAATTGAAAACATTAATTAATGTTAAATTCATTCAATTACTTTAAAGATTATTATTAATTTGTTAAGGGAAAAGTCTTTTGATTGTATTTTTTTAATGCATCAAATATATTTTCTATATTTAAACAATCTTCCCATTCAATAGTATTTATACCCAATTTAAATTCCCCTTGTTGTAATCTTACCAATTCTACTACATGAGCTTCACTATTGAGATCTTTCCCAATGTCATGAACCAAAGTTCGAATATAAGTTCCACTTCCACATTCTACATGTATTTTGAATATAGGATTATTATTATTTAATTCATTATTATTTAATTCATTATTATTTGATTCATTATTTGATTCACTATTTGATTCGTTAATTGATTCGTTATTTGATTCATTCTTTGATTCATTATTTGATTCATTCTTTGATTCAGATGAAATATATAGTTTTGTTATTTTGTCCGTTATTTCGTCTGTTATTTCATCTGTTGTTTCGTTTGTTATTTTGTTTGTTATTTTGTTTGTTATTTTGTTTGTTATTTTGTTTTCGGGTGGTTTAAAATTATGTTCAAAGGTGAAATCTAATAATGTCAATGAATAAATATTGGCCGTCCGTGCTTTTATATCTTTGGGTAATTCAATTCCTTTTCTCGCGTATTCATAAAGACGTCGTCCGTCCATTTTCAATGCAGAATACCTATTCGATGTGTTATTAATTATTTTCATCATTGTTATATTACTATTATTATTATTATTATTATTAATTGATTTTTTTTATTTAATTTTTGATTCAACTTACAATGGTGGAATTTGCATAATTTCTCCTGTATACTTTGGCAATAAATTTAATATCATTTCTTTAGTAATGTGTTGAGTATGACCAATTCCTATTACTTGTCCTTCTGAATCATATGAATCTGTTCCATATCCAAGTAAACCAACTGCGGAATATATCTAGACGATAATTAAATGTTGAACCTAATGTCTATAAATATATAATAATAATAATAATATAGAAATGACCATAAAAACAACAACATAACTCTCGTTCATAATAAAATTAATTAAAATAAAGCAACCTTTTCACATTTTATATATTTCGATAATTCTTTACAGCCATCGTTAACTCCGACGACCAATACACCTGTAGCCAAGGGATCTAATGTTCCACCATGACCTAATTTTATTTTTTTTGAACCATTTCGTAACAATTTCTTGAGCGCGTTTAGAAGGTCAACCGACGTTTTCCCTCGGGGTTTATTAACTGCAAATAAACCATGCGGTAACATTATTGAAATGTAATGCTTGTTACGAAGGCTCGAACGAATATATCCTGATCAAATTTATTTAAATTTATGTTCGTTTTTTATTGGCTATTTTTTTTTTTTAAAAAAAAAAAAACATATGGGCGATTTGTCTCATATCACTAATTAAATTTTAGTGATTATCCCGAATTTGGGTTTAACACATGACTAAAACGTGACAAATATGTGATATTAAAATGTATCAGGTATGCTTATGTAAATTAATGAAAAAAATTGATGTAAAAAATTATTTTTTTTTATTAACAATAATCTAAATTATTCATACAAATCATCACTAAAATTATTTAATTCATCAAAATAATCAGAATTATCCAATTCATTCAAATTATTATTCAAACTATTATCTAAATCTGATGTATTAAATATTTATTAATTGATGATTGTATCATATTTTTTTGTTTAATAGAAAATACTTTTCTTTTTTGAATTTCAATATATTTAAGAATTTGATTACAATCTTCATCTTGTTGAAAAAAAAAAGTTCTAAAGAATTTAATATATTAGTTACTTTATTATATATAATCTTTAATCTTTCAATAGTATCATCATTAAATTCATCATTAAATTCATTATTTAATTTATCACTTTTATTATTTTCTTTTATATTTTCTTTTACCATTTCAATAATATCATCATCTATTAGAATTTCTACAATTTCATTTTCATCTGATTGATTAAAAAACACTTGAACATTCATTGGATTTCTATATCTAAGTTCATTTATTTGATTTATAAGATCATTTATATCCTCTGGAATTTCTATTAGATCATTATTAACATTTGAATCATCTTCTGTTTGTGTACAAATTCCACAGTGAAGAAAATAATAATAGATTGTTTTAGCACTTATATCATTATTGTATGTAGAAATAATAAAGTGAATTGCTTATAATATATTAATTTTCTCAGGTTCTATCTTATTTGCTTTGATGTTTTGAAATATCTGTTGATGAAAAAGTTTTCTATAATAAACTTTAAGATTTCTAATAAGGCCTGCATCATAGAATTATATTTTTAATGTAGTATTTGGTAAAAGAAAATGAATTCTTGTATTACATAAATTGTATCCTTTCTTTTACATGTGCAGAACAATTATCTATCAAAAGAAGCACCTTTCATCCATGTAGAGATATGATCCATGAATAACCAATTCATCAATTCAACAAATCATCCGTGATTGTACAGACAGATCATTTTTTTTGAAACCTTCAGATAATCCGAATTGAAAAATAAATAATTCAGATTATCAATTAATCTGTGGATTGATAATTTAATCCACAGATTGATGATTTAATTCACGGATTATCCATCCAATCTATAAATTATTTTTCAATTTTCAGATTTTTTAAAGTTTAACTTTAAAATAGTTAAAAAACTTTACTCATGATTTGTGAAACGTAGAGCAATTTTTTACTAAAATATTTTTATGATAGAACGAAAGGCCTTTTTCTTGGCTACAAAACAGTATATGTTTCATCTCGGTAGCATTAATATTCGCGGAGTTATTGCAGTTTAAAGAAAAACATCTGTGAAAAAATCGCACAAAAAATTTTATTTTTCATGAACATTTCTCTTTAAACTAGAATAACTTCGCGAATAAGGCTACTGGAATGAAACACATACCATTTTGTAGCCAAGAATAAGGCCTTTCTTTCTATCTTAGAAATACCTTAGTAAAAAATCGCTCTACACTTTATAAATCGTGAGCGAAGTAAAAAAAACTTAAAGAAAATATTAAAATTTCTGGAGATTTTCACCAGTTTTTTACATTTACTCAACTTCGCTCACAATTTATAAAGCGTATAGCGATTTTCTACTAAGATATTTCTAAAATATAAAGAAAGATCTTATTCTTGGCTACAAAATGGTATGTGTTTCATCCCTGTAACATCGATATTCGTGGAGATATTCACATTTAAAGTTGAATGTCCGTGAAAAATTCCTGTTATAAATTTATGACAAAAATTTTTCACAGATGTTTAATTCGCTTGTAATTTATAAAGCATAGAGTGATTTTCTACTAAGATGTTTCTAAGATAGAAAGAAAGGCCTTATCCTTGACTACAAAATGGTATGTGTACATCCCAGTAGCATTGATATTTGCGAAGTTATTCTAGTTTAAAGAAAAACATCTGTGAAAAATAAAATTTTTTGTATTTTTTTTTTTACAATGTTGTTCTTTAAACTGCAATAACTCCGCGAATATCGATGCTACTGGGATGAAACATATACTGTTTTATAGCCAAGAAAAAGACCTTTCTTTCTATCCTAAAAATATCTTAGTAAAGAATCACTCTACACTTCACAAATCATGAGTGAAGTTTATTTAATTATTTTAGATTTTTTAAAGTTAAATTTTAAAGATCTGGAAATTGAAATAATTTGTGAATTGATAGATGATCTGTGGATTGAATAGATAATCTGCGGATTGAACAGATGATCTGCATAATCCGTAAATAATCTGTGAATTAAAAAAATTAACTATATAAAAGATAACGAATGAAAATTTTAATAGTTGTACAGATTAACAGATTGAACAGATCATCCAAATCATATTACTAGTACTGTTAACAATATCCTTGAAGTTTATCATAACGAAATTACATTGTTAACAATATCTTTCAAAATTTATCACAACAATTAAGGTTAGTATTTATGTTTATTGAATGTAATTATATTATTATTATAATTTTATTAGATATCATATTGATTCAAAGTTTATTAGTATTAATATGTTTCTAAAACCTTTAATGATTTAATATATTATAGTTAAAGATTTTCAGAATAACTAGACAATAATTACAATAAGTTTAAATTAATATTATTTAAATATTACAAACATTCACACATAATATTTACAATAAAATTTTCAAATAAGAATAATCATTATCATAACCGGTCACACCTTCGAGAAGATTAAATAAAAAAAGAGCATATTCAATGGACCTAACAGAAACAGAATCAGAAGTAGAAATTAATCGTGAGATATCGAATTTAACTGAAAGTAATAATATTAAATATAATAATTTGCTTCTTTTTAAAAAAAAATATTTATATATTTATTTATAGAAATGTAAAAAGAAATACAAGAAAGAATACAAGGAATACAAAGAAGAATACAAGAAGAAATATTTCCAGAAGAAAGAACTAGAAATTTCACTTTAGATAAATTAATTTTACAAAATGCTAAAGTACCAAAAAATTTTGATACTTTAAATAATAAAATCAATAAACTTGAAAAAATAATTGTTGATTTCGTTAACAAAAAGAAGATATATTACTAGAGTTTATTAAGGTAATCTAATTATAAAACCTTTCATTTGATAATAAATTATAAAAGATTATTTATAATTTATTTTATTATTAGAAATTAGTGAAAGAAATAGTAGATAAAACCTACAATATCACTATATATCCTATACAAAATCAATTTGAAGATATTCATTAGATATTACAAAAAAAAAATATCAAAGTACATTTAGTACATATAAACAAAAAAAATGGAATACTTTTTACGAAGGTCATATTGCTTCAAAAGTAATTACTTTTGCCTTGTTATTAAAATATATTAAAATATTTAAATTTTTTAGTTACTATTTAAATATCATCAAAATCGAAAAACTGACGTTATTACATTCTGAAAGGTATTATTTAGTATTTTGGAGAATGAGAACTTCCTCCCATTCAAACTTCGGACTCCCATGATATGATCACGGCATGGAAAGCATCTTTACAAATTCGAAAAGCTTATGACGTACTTTTTGAAAATATGTCTGGAACAAAAATCAAATATATTGAAAGAATATTAGAAAAAACTTGTAATGTCAATATTCCAATTTATCAAAAAGCTTTTGTCATCGTTACATGCAAAAACTTCTTAAATTCTGATTTACCTGATATAATTGGTAAAGAAAAAATAATAAAATCATTATTGCCTATTTTTGAGGAACAATTAAAAAATAACGATCTTCATCAAGAAGATAATTTTTCAATCGAAGGTAAAGTTGAAGATGAAAAAGATTACCCTTTCATAATTGATAATAAATAAATTTATGAAATAATAATTATATTTTTATAATTTTTATAATTTTTATATAAATATTTTATAAAAGTAATACAAATATATTTGAAATTATTAAAGTAATATTAAAAATATATACATAAATTTTTGATACACATGACTTAGTTTTGATAATAAAGAATAAAATTAAAAATTAATATAGAAAACAAGATAAAATTAATATCACTGGTCAAATTGTGAAAAATTAGCACCTATCGTATACCTATCAAATATCTGATAGGTATACGATAGGTGCTCGATTTTTAATAAATTTTAATATATTGAGCTTCCGATAGGTAAAGTGAGTGTGTCGAAGTTCGGACTAGAGATGGTTAGCTCAATTAATATCAAGCTGACTTAATTAATTACACCCTGGCTAAATGATTTCGTTCTGGCTAAATTCTAACTCAATTAATTGTACCAACTAAATTTCAGTTCAATTTAATTACACCAGCTAAATTTAAGTTCAATTTAATTGTGCCAACTAAATTTTAAATCAACATAACTATTAAAATTTCACTATAA